CCATAGACTGAGGCATACATTGAGTGCTTGTATTGTATTTCACATTACATTGAGTGCTATATTGAAGCGATTGACTGATTGGTGAGTCGACCGCCGATTCAGACCAACTGAACCACACATTCATGAAATGACAGACCAGTCGACTCTTCTGCTCAGAAAACAACTCAATGGTAGGTCACCGGAGGGTTACCACTCACTCGTGAGCCCATTATCTGCCCATTTCCTACCCATCTATCACTGCCTTTACTACGCATCCAATGCCTTCGCGTCTAATCTCTTTTCGTGTCCTTTTCTGGCGATGTCTTCGCTATGTCTCATGTGTTCACTCATTGGCAGACCTCAAGAAGAATCCGGTGGAGGGCTTCTCAGCGGGTCTGGTGGACGACGACGACATCTACATCTGGGAAGTGCTGATCATCGGTCCGCCCGACACTCTGTAGTAAGTTTTGAGCAGTTGATTGGTGTGGTGTCTGGAGTTGCGGTACTAATGAGCTGTTTATCTGATCCCAAGTGAGGGCGGGTTCTTCAAAGCGCACCTAAACTTTCCCAAAGACTACCCGTTAAGACCTCCCAAAATGAAGTTCGTGACAGAGATCTGGCACCCGAACAGTGAGTGTCCACCCATTCATGCGTTTATTGTCTTCGTGTCGATGACTAATCCGTGTCCTCTAATGTCTGTATAGTCGACAAGAACGGTGAGGTCTGTATATCCATTCTTCACGAGCCGGGAGACGACAAATACGGCTACGAGAAGGCGTCCGAGCGTTGGCTACCCGTGCATACCGTCGAGACGATCCTCATATCTGTTATATCGATGTTAGCCGACCCTAACGATGAGTCCCCGGCCAATGTGGACGCGGCGGTCAGTCCTCTTGAATGCCATACCATTTGTATTATCATTGAGTTATTGATTATAATTTTGTTTTGTTGTTTGAATCCACAGAAGGAATGGAGAGAAAGCTTCTTAAACTTCAAGCGAAAAGTGGCTCAATGTGTCCGAAAGAGTCAAGAAATTTAATAATTACTTTTATACGGGTGAGACACTAACCCCCACGCCCTCCTCCCCCTCTACCCCCTACAACACTACTCTCTAAGTGTTCAATACTTCGACTCTTCTTTTGATAATAACTATAAAATTGAATTCAAATTTATTTAAGAAATGTTTGTTTCTCTTATTTGTTATTTAATTGATGTTTAGTTTTTGACTCTTAAGCTGATCTCTAATTTGTAATGAATTAATAAAACAAACACATAAAGACATCCAGATACATTTCTCAATAATATTTAATACTCTGTTTTTTGCATGAGTTTTGAGTTTTTAGTGAAAAACTGATTGCAAAAAAATTGTAAATATAATTGAACTGAAATTAAACTGTTTTTTATAATTAATTTCTATTTCTCTTTTCATTTTTTAGTAAATGAATAGAAGTCTAGAATTAATCATCACTTCATTACTAACGAACGGCTCATAAGAACTTATTTTTTAATCCCGAATATTTGGTTAAGCCTTCGATACATATATATAATTCAAAATTTAATTATTATTATTATTATGATTTGTCTTATTATTTTAGATTCTAATGAAAAGAAAAGTTTTTAAAATAGAAATTATTTACTTATAATATCTATTATTTAATACTAAAAGAATACACTAAACAAATGAATTGTTTTATTATTAATTTCTCCCGTTTTTTATTCATGTGTACAGTAGTTGTCGGCAAAATACACTCTTTTGTCGTATTCATGAGTTAAATAACATTTTATCATTAATTAATAATAATTAATATTTCTAATAAACATTAATTAAATTGAAGCATCGTTTCCATGTTATTTATGGCATCGCATTGAATACAGTGTACGCCATTACACTGTTACGGTTTTCAATCTTAAATACAGTACTGAAATTTTTAGTACACTATTGATTTACACCAGAGTTTATCATACGCTTAAATGAGTTCAATAACGATTTGTTAGAAATAGTCGAGATAATAATATTAAGACTAAATATCAATAGATATGCTAAGAATGTCAACATTGCCCACACGTTTGTGTTACTTTCGGATTTGGCAATCATTGGCTAGTCTAGCGATACTTGTCTCACTTGAATCATAAATTATTAACACAAACACAATCGCTGATCCAATTCCCATCTAAATTGCACTTAAATCACAACATAAATGATAAACAATTGTTTTATAAAATCAAAAATCCGTTTAATCATTATTAGCGATGAGTGAAAACTACAAACAAATGACAAAAACATTTATTTCGATTAAATAAAGATTACATAAAAAGTAGTTTTAATTAAGAAAATTAAATCTTTTTTATCATAAAATGAGTGAACAATTATCGAGAGAAAAATATTGACTAAAAATAAGGGTTAAAGTAAAATAAGGTTATCTCTATTGGCGTCGAACTCGCTCTCCATATCAAACATACTGTCCGTCTCGTCGTATTTGATATATTTATTGTCGACGACGTCGAAGTCGAGGACCAGGAGTTTGGTCTCTTCGGTGCCATTACGGGAACCGACGGCGCAAACGAGTTTCGTATTGGAGGCCCGTATACGCCACACCACACCACCGCTGCCACCGCTACTCAATGAGACTAAATTCCTGATGAACTCTCCGGTGCGGAGGTCCCAGAGTTTGACAGTCCCGTCGTCGCTGGACGTGATCACGAACCGCGAGTTGAACTGAAGACACGTCACCGCACTTTGATGTTTGTTAGGGCCGGACAGCGTCTGCAGGCACTGACCCGTGTTTATGTCCCACACCTTCACCGTCGAGTCGGCGTTGCCCGACACCAGCGTATGGCCTCTCAGTTGCATACCGCTGGTCAGTGACTGGTGACCGATGAGCGTGTGCTTCAGTGTGCCGGCGGTGGCCGACCACACCCTGATGGACGTGTCCAGCGAACCGCTCACAATGTGTTGGCCATCGAATTGGAGGGAATAGACGCGATTCGTGTGGCCCTCGAGTGTGTGCAGACACGTCTCCGACACGACGTCCCACACCTTCACTAAATAGTCGTACGCACCCGACACGCATAGTTTGCCGTTGAACTGCACGCAACGCACGGCCGCCACGTGTCCCACGAGTACGTGACAGCACTCGCCCGTCTCGATGTCCCACACGCGGAGAGTGGCGTCTCGGGAGCCGCTCACCACCTGATCCTCGTGTAGTGCCATACATCTCACGGTAGAGGTGTGTCCGTACAGTGTGTGCAGACACTTGCCGTCCAAAGCGCTCCACACTTTGAGCGTCCGATCGGTTGAGCCGCTGATTATGATATCATGAGGTGATAGTTGTGAAGACCAGACGCCGCCCGTGTGGCCGCTCAGCGTCCGCAGACACCGTCCCGACTCACTCGACCACACTTTCAACGTGTTGTCGTCACTGCCGCTCACTATCAGATTGGACGCGGGGTTGAACTGAAGACATGTGATCACGTGGTCGTCGTGTCCTTTCAGGTACAGGATCTCCTTGAGGAGACGACTCCGGCCGGAAGTGGTGGCGCTCTCCTTCTCGGTGGACAGCACTCCGTATCTCCAGTTGTATTCAATAGTCTTTTGTCGCAAAAACGCGATTTTATACTCAGATCTAATGAACGTTGGCGTCGGAGAGACGGGAGACGAGGGCGACATCTTCGGCGAACAGCTGTTCGAGTGGGGCGGAGAGGTAGGCGTCGAGCACCGCAACAGCGACGAGCGCCGCCGCTCCAGACTCCCGCTGAGGCGGCGTTTGAACAAATCGACTATCGTTTCGTTGTCTTCGAGGAGCCGCTCTTCGCGACACTTGTCTCTCCACATGAGGTTGTCTTCGCATAATATCCTCCAATAACGACACGTTTGTGCGGCGCGTAACAGATCCTTCGGATCCAAGAAACTCAAGACATAGAGCGCTAACTCTTTTGGCAACAATGATATGAAGTCCCGCTGGAGCTGCGGCTCAATGAGTGTCAACAAATGGCGGATCTGTTGGACTTCGCAGATGTCGCTCGACACGAGACTGTCCAGCGCTTGGATGCGCTCGTTGTGCGACCAGTTGTAGAACGTCTTCAGCCAACTGTCTAACCCATTGTCCCCTCCATCGCACGGATGGCTATTCGTGTGCTTATTGTTTGCAATACTATTACAGTTACTGTTCGTTAAATCCATGTCACAGACAATGTCTTCCGTTTGTGTGGACCGTTGGATGGCATCCGAAGACACGGCTCTCGATTGACTGGCAGTACAGGCGCACGGAGTGGACAGTTGTGCGGTTGTGGCCACACATGCGTTGCCTAACTTCGCCCTCTTTATGGCAGTACTATTGTGATGATCGGCGCACCGGTGGATCAACTGAGTGGTGACGTCGCGTTTGTTACCACCGCTCGTCGTCACCGACGCACTCCTGAGGCCATTGTCGTCGCCATACGTGTTGTCAATACCATTGTTGACACCATTGGTGTCATCGGTGGTCGCCATCGTGGGCTCGCACTCGCCCGTCACACACACCACAAGACAATCGGTGATCACCGCTAAGATGTTGAGCCAACACTCGCGTCCGTTACGCGTGGATCAAGTGATTGTGATTTAAATGTTCACACAATTAATGAGTCAAACAATTGTTGGCAACAATTGTCAGCCATTTTCAACACAAACACTGTGTTTACGAAACGCGCGATTCGTATATAACGTTACGCGCAGTCCAGTGACCACTAGTGTTGTGTGGATTACGGGTTATTGCAATTTGCGAGTCCACTCACTCACGCCCCCCGACTGCACCCCCGTTCACATCACGTGTATTGTTGGGGATATTTAAATGCCATTTAATGAGTGCTTTTAATCTGATTACGAGTGTCTGATACGATGGGATGCAAAGTGCATACCTGTGCCACTGCACAGTGACATTGACAACATTGCAATGCATGCACACACTGTGTGTGTAAATATGAAGCTAGCATTGGCTGTGTGTATGCCATAGGATGCCAGTGTGTATTTGGTGAGGTTGACCTTTCACATTTACCAGCCATACGTACTCTCGTATGTGTGCGGGCCTTACACTGACATCCTATATGCTAATGCTATGCTGTGCTTATGAAACAAGTGTCTGAAATGTAATTCAATTAAAAAGTGTTGTGTGAAGTGGTCACTGTGTGTGTAATGAGATGTCAAATGTGTTAATAATGTGACACTTAATCGCATTGGCATTCAGTGTTTGTGTCGATCCGTGCATTGCTTTCCATTAGATGTGTTTGTTTTGACAAATGATGTGAACATAACTGCTATTCAGGTATTGATTGGAGATTTCAATTATATATTTAAATGACCTTTGTGATATTTTTAGTAAATTGAATTTTGATATTGATTGTAGTATATTTATATCGCTATTGTCATTAGTATAATTTCTAATTATTAGCTAGCATGCAATTTATTTGACATAAGCTATGGATTCTGGGTTTATAATAATTTTACAGAATATTAATTTTTTAAAAATTATTAATTTAATTATCTTGTTTAAATATCCGTGAAAATTTAACAAGCAAAAACAAATGCGAATAAAATTGAATATAATTTTTTTGTTAGTCATTAAAAAATATTAATTGTGCTTCATAATTGAGTTAATAAAAATATAAACTATGACATTTGTTTAAAAGTGTTTACATTACAATAAAATATAGCGAAAACATTTGTAGTATTAATAAATAAATGAAAACTAAGTGATAGTAATTGACTGCTATATCCAAACACATTATCGAGAATATTGTTCACAAATAGCTTTCGCGAACAGAATATACAGAATATTCTGTAAATAATGTGAATATAATGTAAATATTCTGCGAATAGAGTGCAATGTGTGTGAGAGAAGTGGTGACAAAATATTTACTTATTTGACGAAAAATGTGAGCATTTGTTTGAATTTGAATTGTAATTATAAGTAAATCTCATATGAATTGTTTGATAAACACAATAGTGTTGCAGTCATGTAGTCATACCCCATAACACTGTATTTGGGTCTCGCGTCCTAATCTCGTAATCCATTCATACAATCGTTTATTTATATTTCATTGAAAGTAAAAATTTCATACTATTTCTCATTTTAAGATAAATAAATACGAGTTATAATAGCGATAAGAATTTTCTAAGTGTTTTGTAATGCCTTTTAAATTTGTGTTTCAAACTAAATACAGAGTTTGATGTGCGAGGTGTGTGAGTGAGACCCACTGTATGTCTCTGTGTTTGTCTTATTAGAAATCGTATCAATACTTGTAAAGTTAGTACAGAATCAATACTATTGATTCAATACAAACAACATTGCATTCACACACACACTCTAAGTGTGTGTCAGTCAGTACAGTGTGCGAGACTCGAGTCAATCACATAAGCGTTTGTTCATCAAAAAGTGTATATAATATACTCGGAAAGACATCTTATTCTGTCATTTATATCCATCAAATTCTTGTGACAATTCGTGTGATTCTTGACGATGTGTTTGTCGAGCGACAGAAACTAATTGAATGACTCGTTTGTGTGATATTTCAGAGACGATCGTCGCGTTGGATGACCTGAAGGCCATTCAATCGATTAAAGACACTGAAAATGTTGATCAAAGAATACCGGATTCCGTTGCCCCTGTCGGTCGAGGAGTACAAAGTGGCACAACTATACATGATTGCCGTAATTATACACATATTGATTGCCATTTGTTTTGTCAATTATGTGGAATATTCTGTAATGAATTGATTTGTAGAAAAAAAGCAAAGAGGAGACACAGGGAGCCGGCAGTGGTGTTGAGATTATGGTGAACGAGCCATATGACAATGGCCCGGGAGGGTCGGGACAATACACGCATAAGATATATCACGTGGGATACCACTTACCAGGTATTTGAATGAATTTGTTTGATCCCTATTTGACTGTTCAATACAAATATTGTCGATTGAATGAAAGGATGGCTCAAAGCATTGTTACCGAAGTCGGCGCTAACCGTGGAAGAAGAGGCCTGGAACGCCTACCCGTACACTAAAACTCGTTACACCTGTCCGTTCGTCGAGAAGTTCTTCATCGAGATTGAGACCAAGTATTTTGACGATTGCGGTGATCGCGAGAATGTCTTCGAACTCAACAACTCTGAGATGAGATCGCGAGTCGTCGGTAATGAAGAGCTCATTGGAAAAGAGTTTGAGAATGAAATGAAATGACAGAATATGTTGTGTTCGCAGATGTGATTGACATCGTTAAGGATCAGCTCTACTCATCCGACTATAAGAAGGAAGAGGACCCCAAGTACTACGTGTCGGAGAAGACACGGCGCGGACCGCTCACCGAGAATTGGGTCGAAGAGTACTGGAGTGCTATAAAGAGGAACAACAGGTCCAAAGACAAGTACATTATGTGCGCCTATAAGTTGTGTAGAGTTGAGTTCAAGTACTGGGGAATGCAGACGAAGATCGAGAAATTCATTCACGACTCGGGTTTGCGTTCATTTCAAATAATTAAATTAAATTATTTGTGAACTGTTTTTCCGGTATTTACTGATTATTTATTGAATGGTTTGATAGCATTAAGGAAGACGATGGTGAGGGCCCACAAGCAGGCCTGGACCTGGCAGGACGAGTGGGTCGGCCTCACTATGGCTGACATCAGACAACTAGAAAAGGAAACTCAGGAGTACTTGAAGTCACGAATGGCCGCCAATATGAGCGATAGTGCCACGAATGAGACGCTCGACAACAGCCCGCAGAACATGAATACTAGTCCCTCGGGACAGGAGATTGATTTGAATGTCATCGACAAAGACAATGAGAAATATGAGGATATTATCGCAATGGAAGTGCCAAAGAGTAAAAATTCCTCTTCATCTCATCCATCCGTTACTTCCAAACATTCGATATCCAGAGATCAGGATGTGTTGGGTGACGGCAGACGTAAACTGTGGTCCAGAAGTAATTCCAAAGCAGGTCTTCCTTCTCCGGGTGAGTCTATGTTTTGTATATTTTATATAATTATGTGAATATTATAAGGAATTTCAAAAGGATCTAAACTTTTGTGCTAGTACAGTATTAATATTGTTCAACTCTACATTATAAATAAACCATTCTGTTCACTTATATATATATTTTAAATTATACGAACAGATAAAACATAATAGCCTGTTAAAATATTTATAGTGCTTTGAAAACTAGAGATTATAAAATTTTATACGATGCCCAGAGACATAATAAGATAGCTTTTTTTGCTCACTGAATATCATCAGAATATCAAGAATATTCTATTAAAATAAATAGGAAATGAGTATTTTAAAAATAGCTACAAATATTCTTACATCTCTAAATAGCCGCTAAATAAGCATTAGCTGGTAATGATAATAATTTGTACAAAAATTACTTTTAGGTAAAGAATGTTAATAGTGCTGAGAATAAATTATCAAGGGATTTATAAATTCCATTTTATACTTTTTATAAAAAGCATTATAAAAGCTTTTTCTCCAAAAAGCCTAATGTCTTACAAATGTGTTGTTTTTTTATGCAAGATTTAGCATAAAATTGTTTTGCAAATAATCGTACAGACAATTAGATTTCAATTTCCTGCGTTATCGCGACATTTGAGAAAATACTCGCATTTCTGTGTCTTTTCTTTATAAATACTTATGATTGCATTCATCGCAACAAATCATTAACGAATAATTCATGAAATATTTTGAGGACAATAGATAAGATTACACGGAAAAATAGTAAATTACAATATATTCACACACTTCCCACTCCCCAGACAAATGTGATATTAATTTTAATGACGAGATGACTTTTTGCGATATATTTATAATGAGATATAAATAATTTAGATGAATATGACTTACAAATAGCAAACTGGCGAATGGAGAGCATTGTTAGGGATTCCTGTTCTGAAGGCAGTTCTGATGATGAGTTCTATGATGCCGAGGGTATGGCTTCCCATAACTCATCCCTTTTGAGTTGATTTTAATAGAGTCTTATCTGTCGTACAATAGAAATACTAAACGTGAGTCCATTAACCAAATGGAGTTCACTTGATTACATACCGACCGATATGGGGGTCAAAAGTCAACAGAGTGTGGACGCCGGCGATGACTGTAAATACGGTTATATTTTACGTGAAATGCAAATGAGTTTAAAACGAAATCTCTATTTAAAAGCCGATAACATCTTCTCCGAGGCATACATTAAACGCATACAAACAGAGCACTCGAAGCACCAGAAGTCGGCGTTTATGAACAGACATAGCGTGGACACGACGTCCCTTCCCAGTTCGCCCACTCATCAAACTCCCTGTCCCACCGATATCCTGCTGATTATCGTGCACGGGGGCAGTCTGCTTGACTCCGGCGCTGAACTCAATTCTAGTAAGACATCAGACATAACGACATTCCGGAGTTCACTGGAAGGCGTCGTTCGGCAGCACTACCCGAGACTTAACGGAAGGATAGCCTTTCGCCTCATTTCGTGTCCGTCTATATGTTGCGACTCTCTGGCGGTTCTCTCCACTCTCAGTCCATACAGTTTCCAGTCCTCGCCCTCAGCTATTGATGGCGTTTACCATACATACGATGCCATACCTATCGGAGCACTCCCTCTGTTTGCCGTCTCATCGCATGAATACCACGAAAACGTGTCGAAAGTAATTTCCGCAACAAATCATACGTACAGTGAGTTCCTGAAGAGCGAAGAAGGGCTCGGCTTTTGCGGCCAAACATGTCTTATCGGTGATAGTATTGGTTCCATCGTCGCGTTCGACGCCTTCTGTCGATCCAATCATCTCTGCAGTCAATTTGGCAGCGAATCCAGTATTCCTGATCTGTCCGAAGGCCATAAGACGGGCGACTCGATGTACTCACACCCCTCTCAGTCCAGACCGGTCTTCACCACTCATAAGAATCCGTTGATTTCCATCAGCGATGGCAGCGGTAATGAAGACGCCGACGATGAGTCCAAAGCAAACAAATCAAAGACGTTGCCACTGAAGCCAAACACAGTCGCTGTGCAGCGACCGTACGTCAAGTCATACTCACATCCCGGCGAAAGCACGGTCTGTACGGACGAGGGTGCCTGCCATCGCCTCCTGACGGCTCCTCTGCCGCGGCGCCGGAGTTCCTGTTCTAGTGATCAAAGTTGTTGTCATCGCTTCGAGTTCGAAGTCAATGACTTCTTTATGTTTGGATCCCCTCTCGGACTTGTTCTCACTTTTAGGAAAATGTTATCCATTGATGACAAGTCATGTGAGATATTTTAGATACCATTTGTTGATCACTGGGTTTTTAAGTACCGGTAATATAATTTTGATCTGAATTCAGGTCCACTTCCAAAGCCTTCGTGTACTCATATCTACAATCTGTTCCATCCGACCGATCCATCAGTTTTACGATTAGAGCCTTTACTGAGTGCCAGGTTTTCACACATTCCACCCGTTAATGTCCCGCGATATCAGAAATATCCGTTAGGAGACGGACAGCCCATCCATTTGCGTATGAATATGCCATAAGAATGTGAATTTTACAAATATACTAAAATTGCATATTTGTTGTATTGTCTGATTGTGTGAACAGTTGAATATTTGCAAACATATTCGCATTTGTTTGCGGCCGAAACGGGTACACAAATACCTCACACATCATACCCGACAATGGGTCGGCGCACCAGTGAAGTCAGTATTACCAGCAATATATCGGTAGCACTGGATTCGCTCACATTACCCAACATTACTTCACGTAAATTACTATTTTCTTAAATCCACTATTGAATACTAATATGCATTGATTACGGGTGCAGTCACTTCAAAATGGTGGGGCTCTAAGAGGGTAGACTACGCGCTGTACTGTCCCGAAGGATTAAACAACTTTCCGACGCACGCCTTACCCCATCTATTCCACGCTAGTTATTGGGAATCAAATGATGTCATTTCCTTCATATTAAGACAAGTAATGGCAACAAAGCAATGATATATCCGTTCACTTCTTAACCTATTGTATGACATCTTTATACAGATCTCAAGACCTGAATACATGGCGTCCAATGCTTTAGACACAGAGAAAGACATCCATTCGTTCACTCCGTCTCAACCGCGAGAAAAGTGGCAAAAGAAGAGGACATCAGTGAAGCTGAAGGTGAGCCGAGTATGTCATCTCCCACTCCTCGCTTCGCTGAATGAGTTCATTCATTTAACCGTGAATTCAATGCATTCCTCCGCATCGCATAACCACATGCAGAACATAACCGCCAATCACAGGGCGAACGATGTGATCGTTATGGAGGGCTCGACGCAAGTAATCACCGCTCGCTTTATGTACGGCCCGCTGGATGTGGTGGCGCTTACCGGCGAGAAAGTGGACATCCATATAATGAAAAACACCCGATCCGGCGAATGGACTTTCTTGAGCACCGAACTCACCGATAAGTCCGGACGAGTCAGTTATGTCATACCCGAGGATAAGACGTTAACCTATGGTTTATATCCGGTTAAGATAGTAGTCAGGTATATATGAGTATGGATTATGATCGGGCACATTTTGATTGGGATTTATATGAATGAAGGGGTGATCACACGTCCATTGATTTCTATTTGGCTGTCGTTCCGCCGAAAACGGAAGCCGTGGTCTTCAGTATTGACGGCTCGTTCACCGCCAGTATGTCTGTCACCGGAAAGGACCCGAAAGTCAGAGCTGGAGCTGTAGATGTAGTCCGTTATTGGCAGGAATTAGGATATCTTATAATTTACATAACAGGCCGTCCAGACATGCAACAGGTTTGTTAGCTTCGCTGTGTTTCTATTGATATATCTTTTAACACCTATTCTTCGTCAGCAACGAGTCATATCATGGCTCTCTCAGCATAACTTCCCGCACGGATTGGTCACATTCGCTGACCGACTGTCCACAGATCCCTTGCGACATAAGGCCGAACACCTCAGACACCTTCAAAACGATGTAAATATTTCTCAACAGATCAATGATTGCTTGGTATTAACTCTGTGTTTGCACTCGAAGTGTGAGATTGTATTCCAGGCGGCGTACGGTTCCAGTAAAGATATATCTGTTTACCAATCATTGGGTCTCAAACCGGATCAGATCTACATTGTGGGCAAAGTCTCTAAAAAGCACCACTCGATGGCTAATGTGAGTTATTTTACTCCTTATATTATGTCGCAAATATCAATGCTTTAAATAATAATATTGATGTAATTATATGAATAATTCAACAGATTTTAAGCGAAGGCTATGCGATCCACTTGAATGAGTTGATAGCACTGGGATGTTCCCGACCCGCTCAGGGAAACGCTCGTATGGTTCTGCCGAGGAGTGGTTTCGGAGGCGTCCGACACCGACGCTCGACCAAAGCCAAGCGCACCATCTCTTACCCGTTGACATCGCAAATGTCTGTCCCCTCGACCCTGAACTCCATAGCCAGTACGGCTCCGCCAACTTATAGTGAGTCCATGACTTATGGCTTTTTTAGCAGTAAATTAAAGCAAAATAAATAATAACTTTAAGCGAAATAAGGAATAATAATAAGCAAATAATTAGATATTGAATTAATGTTATGTTTGAAAAATAATGATCCGATTTTTAGATTGTTTTATCACTACTTAATTTAGTTTTGCACACAATTCGTATATAAATCTAAACTTATGCTCAGTTTTTAAGAAAATAATTTCGACCCCTCATTGACAATACTATAAAAACATATTGAATACGTGTATAAAGTTGTTTCTATAATTTGTTTCATAGATATATTTAATTGATTGTTTAATTTTTTTAAAGAGATTTAAAACTATTATACATATATATAAATATTTAAATAATTGTTTACTCAATTTCACTGATAAGTCAAACATTTAAATAGAGATAAAATAATTTCAACTAATTAACTGAAGTATAATTCTCATGTGAAATGTTAATTCAAATTATGAATTAAATGGACAGTTAAGGGGAGTACGAGTTTGTAAATCCCTTATACAGTACGTTGAAAGTTATAATGTGTGCCATAAATGAAATCTTTTTTAAAAACATAAGAATAGCCAGACTTTGAGATTTATTATAATAAAATAATCGGAATATAATTCTCGTTTTTTAATGACCAAAATTCCCCTCATTTCGGAGCTAAGCCTCCGGTTGACCACCAATTCATTGAATGTGATTCTTAATAATATATTAGTAAATCTGTTGTTAACTATGAAATCGATGTATTAAAAGGTTGAGTTATTATTGTTATATAATTTAGGATAATATTTGAGATCAAAATATTTATTCTGCGATATTTTACATTCAAAAGTCAAATGTAATGACTCTTACCATCAATACACACAAAATGTTAATGAATTGAAAGTTAATAGTTATTCGTTAAGTAAAAAGTGTTTATTATGTTGTATTATATAAACATAAATATATAATATAGTTTATTTATTTTAAAAGCAATAATAAAATTGTTACTGAAATTAATTTTAATAGTAACTACAGTATATTGATGGTAAGCGTATTTATATTTACTTTTTGTCAGCATTTAAACAATATTTTGTTTTATTGAACAAAAAATGCAATATTGTATTGAATTAAAAAATATATAAATATATAATTAATACATTAGTTGTGAAATCGCACACAAAACACATATTGAGTCAATCCTTTGCTTCAAATTATAAGACATTTAATACAAAATACTGTACCAAACAATAAGAATAATTGTTCAAAGCGTTATCAATTCATCAAGGCATATTTTTGTATTTCAAACACTCATTTCCATTGTATTTACCAATTATAAGATTATATGTTTTGCAGTCAAAACCAGAAACTCAATTCAACACACATTTAAATTTAGTTAAATTTAAGAATATTTAAAATGATTGTTAAAAATTAGTTATAAAATATAATGATTGTTATTTATTGTCAAATACTTATGAAAAAAAATAATTGCATTTTGTTTTAGAAGAATAAAAATTACACTCAAATTTGAATCAATAATAATAATAATAATAATAAAAATCTTAGGAAACAATTTTGCAGACAAAACTCATCATAAATTCATTTACTTATAAAAATACTTGTGTTGTGAAAGCCTTGGGCTAACTGTTCCCTTCAATTGAATTAATGTGAAAAGACTTTTTTACTTACTTTCCACTCAGACCATCATGTTTTGTTACTTTACTTCATGATAAATGTGATAACTTAACAAATTAATTAATTTAAAAAACTATATATTATAATGCAAACTAACTTAAATATTAAAATTAAAACAATTAATATACCTCTTTTATTTTACTTAAAAATTTTGAGTATAGGCTATATATTATGACTGTGTAATTATTTAAATATGTATATCAACTACGAGTACTGTTCACCCAAACTATTTGAGCCCTCAGTCTATTTGGCATAAAATTGGTGTTTAATTTGTCTAAAAAGTTTAAATTTTGATCGAAAAGTTCATTAGAATTTTTCGTTCATTTATTATCGCAAAAAAATAATTTTCTAAAAGTAGTCATTAATATCAGTCAATGAAATAAATGTTATATTTCGCAACTTTTGACATTACGTTTGAAGATTTTTTTTCATCCATTAATCCATTAAATATATAAAATTTGTTTCTTATGGTTATATTAATAGCTTTGGGACTATTCATTGCTTTTTTACATAATATAAAATACATTAAAGGTATTATGCATTACATTTTAGGCTTCAATGTAAANCGATGAATGCAATCATAAGTATTTATAAAGAAAAGACACAGAAATGCGAGTATTTTCTCAAATGTCGCGATAACGCAGGAAATTGAAATCTAATTGTCTGTACGATTATTTGCAAAACAATTTTATGCTAAATCTTGCATCAAAAAAAACAACACATTTGTAAGACATTAGGCTTTTTGGAGAAAAAGCTTTTATAATGCTTTTTATAAAAAGTATAAAATGGAATTTATAAATCCCTTGATAATTTATTCTCAGCACTATTAACATTCTTTACCTAAAAGTAATTTTTGTACAAATTATTATCATTACCAGCTAATGCTTATTTAGCGACTATTAGAGATGTAGAAATATTTGTAGCTATTTTTAAAATACTCATTTCCTATTTATTTTAATAGAATATTCTTGATATTCTGATGATATTCAGTGAGCAAAAAGAAAGCTACCTTATTATGTCTCTGAGCATCGTATAAAATTTTATAATCTCTAGTTTTCAAAGCACTATAAATATTTTAACAGGCTATTATGTTTTATCTGTTCGTATAATTTATAAAATATATATAAGTGAACAGAATGGTTGATTTATAATGTAGAGTTGAACAATATTAATACTGTACTAGCACACAAATTTAGATCCTTTTTGAAATTCCTTATAATATTCACATAATTATATAAAATATACAAAACATAGACTCACCCGGAGAAGGAAGGCCTGCTTTGGAATTACTTCTGGACCACAGTTTACGTCTGCCGTCACCCAACACATCCTGATCTCTGGATATCGAATGTTTGGAAGTAACGGATGGATGAGATGAAGAGGAATTTTTACTCTTTGGCA